GGAAAGAGTAAGACAGAACAAAGCACTCATGGAAGCACAGCTCAGTTAACTATAACAATTTACTGACATCTCTATTACCACAGAGGAGAGTGCAAGGGGTTTGGCTGCTGAGATTATGCTAGGGCCCTTGTCATGAGGTAGAGAAGTTATTCTTTCTTCACTCCCATTCTACCCATCTCCTTTCCTGTCCTGCCCACTACTTGGCCACAGTAATTGCCACTTAAACTTTTTCTCTGAGGATCCCAAGAGGTCCTATAAACACATGACTAAAACCTTGTCTTCTGCGGTGCAGGTAACATCTGCTTGCAATTTCTGTGGTCCTCTCCATCCTTTATTAAAGGACCCTGGGACACAGATATCCCTATTTGGGCTTTTAGAGTGCTTATGCATGTTTGTCCTCTTTCCAAATCAGTTCTTGCAGGCACCACAAATCAGGCTGCTCCAAAACTGGAGCACTCATATATAGATGCTCTTAGATGAAGGCAGGGAGGGTGTCTTAGAATGGGGAACAGAAGACACCTTGTGTCTGTGGCAGAAAGGGGCTCTAGACCTTTAAAGGCTCCTTATCTAGTAACTGAGGGTCCTGGAGACTTCTCTCAGCCCCAGCCCCTACAGTAGAGGCAAGAATAGTCTCTCTCTTCTTCCTGTGCCAGTAGGGTAAATGAGGTTGGCAGCCTCTGTTCCTTGAGGATCTGACCTGAAGGAGTCTGCCTATACCTCAGGAGGAAGGCATAGAAACGTGGGGAAGAACATTAGGGTTCATTCAACTACTTTGATTGGAAGGGGTGCCAAGGATTTGTTGGTGTGATGGAACAGCTATCAGGGGAAACGGGGTCCTCTTTTGTGAGGCTGGAAGCCAGCAGGGAAGGTTCCATTTCTAAAGCCCATCCTCGTTCCCATCTCTTGCAAGCCAAGCTCCAGGGTCTGGTGTGTGATGTCTTAAGAGCTGAGCCTAAGTTCTTGAGCCAGCTCAAGAGAAGAATACAAGTTCTCTTCAGACATAAGAGAACCGGGTGCAGAAATCACTGCAGCACATCTGACTCTGATGGAGAGAGCCAGGCCAAAGCCAGGTACTCACCTTGCCTGTGGACTTGACTCCCTTCCAGATGCAGAAGTAGCAAATGATCCATGCAAGCAGGAGGCAAAGTGCCAGCTCCCAGCGCAGGCTCCCCATGTGCTCTATGCCATTGGAAATCTTTAACACTCTCCTCCTGGAGGG